CGGCAAATTATCGCAACACCAGCGTAACAAGGCCGCGGTACCTCCTTTGGCGTCCCTCTCCTCCAATCTCGTCCCGTCCATCTCAATCATCTCTCCTTTCACGCGTCTGTCTCTCGTTTAACTCTCATTCATTCCTTTCCTAGTCCATTCCACGTCTGTTGAACCTCTGGCTGCGCCTACGTTTGACACGTGTAACATTGGAAAGCACGCGACACCAACGTGACTTGGAACGCGCCAGCGCAATAATGTTAATGCTACGACATATCACGCGCGCTCATGCCGCGTTGACACGACAACCTTTCGCGTATCGGTCTCAGCAGGCTGGTCCGGTACTGCAAAGAACAAGGTTATGCCAGCCCTCTTTGGCGCGCGCTCTGAGTGGCCAATCCGGTCCTCCGACTCCTGGCAACGACGCGCCAAACCCCATTGACGACGCTGCAGAGCGTCTGGAGGAAGAGGAAGAGCAGCAAGAGGAGAGACGCGAGAAAAAGAAGGCAGAATGGAAAAGCACAGCCTGGAAGATGTTTGAGGCTGCTGCTACTACCGGAGCCAGCATCTTCATCCTTGGATGTGTCGGCATTGGTTATACTAAGTACTACAAATGGAACGTGCTTGAAAAGATGGAGAACGCTTTTCGCGAAGGCGATCCTGTATTAGAGCTTGCAGCTACTGGAAAGGAGATGCCGAAAGCGGGTGAGCCTACTCGACTACAAGTCAGCAAGGACCTGGACGGTGATGATAAAGACTATGATCGCTGGATCCCACGTGATGAGCAGGAGAGGATTGACAAGATTGTCTGGGGCGAGACAAAAGGACGTTACCATCTACTTCTTGGCGAGAAGGGGACTGGGAAGACTTCCATGCTCATCGACGCCATGGATAAGATCAATGGTGAGGGATGCTCGATGATGGAAGCCCACGCAGATCTCGAAGTCTTCCGTGTACGGCTAGGTCGCTGTCTCGATTTTGAGTACCACGAAGACAACATCGGATCGCTTTTCTCCATCCGCGGTCCACGCGATGCGGGCGCCATACTTGACATTGAGCGCGCGTTCAACAAGCTTGAGAAGGTAGCCTTGCGACGACGCGCAACTGTTGGCAGACCGCTCATTCTCATTATTAACTCCGCACATTTGATCCGAGACAATGACGACGGCCGAGACCTGCTCGAACTCATTCAGCAGCGGGCAGAGCAATGGGCAGCTGCCAACCTCGCAACTGTCATCATCAACTCGGACAAGTACTGGGTGTTTGAACGATTGAAGCAGTACGCTACACGCATGGAAGTGCATCAAATCAAGGACCTCAGCAAAGACCGGGCCATGCAAGCCCTACGGAACTACCGAATGAAGTACTACGGCGAGAAGGTGCAAGACTCCATCCTCGAAGAAGTATACGACAAGGTCGGCGGACGTCTCACCTTCCTCAACCGCGTCGCCAAGTCAGAAGACATGGTCGCAAAATGCAACAGCATCTGCGAAATGGAGAAGATATGGTTCCTGAACAATTGCGCGATTCTTGGCGAGGAGATGGACGACGATGTCATGGACCAGCAGAAATACGCTGTACGTATACAAACATTCGTCTATCAATAAGCTGACTAACCCCCACAGTCCACAGCCATGGTCCTAGCCAACGCCCTCTACAAACTCTACCACGACATGGAATCAACCTACGACCCAAAAGAAGGCCACATCCTGCCCTCATTCCCCCTCCACCGCGCCCGCTTCATCATGACGCGTTCCGACTTCATCCGTCAACACCACGACCTCTCCATCTTCTCCATCGACTCGCACGCCGTTGTCCGTGCCGACTCCGTACCCATGCAACGCGCTTTCAACGAAATCTGCGCCGAGCCTGGGTTCGAAGACTTCCTCGAAGCGACACTCGAGCGTATCGGTGCGATTGAGAGTCTCGGCAGGACGAAGGAACTTACGTTCAAGGATCTTTGGGAGGGGGGCAAGTATCGTATTGTGCAGAAGGATGGAAAGGGCAAGGTGCAAGGTGAGGTGGAGATGGAGACTGTGCCCGGGAAGGGGGATGATGATGACGATGATGAGAAGGATGATTGAATGGGAAGGTTGGATGGGCTACGAGATATTTGGACGCCGGGATGATTGGATTGTTATGCGTTTGGATGTACGATATGGGAGTAGGCGGCTGCTTGATTCTGCGTGGCGCTGGTGTCTTGTGGGAAGTCGCGATACCCTAGAATGTCAGTTTTCCTATGTATGTGCCCACTCTCCTTACTGTGCTCACTGAGCAGATTGCCGGCTATTTGCTGCTCCACTTATTTTGTTCGTCACTGACCCCTTCCGTCTTTGTCGCAGTGAGTACGTCCATAGTCTGTTCTTGGGCCCACATCTCTCCCTCTACTTTCACTACAGCGAAGATATCATGAGCCTGTTTGCTCCGGTTGTTGCCTCTGCCGGACCTCAACACTTTCAAGACTAGTTCTCTTTTGGTCACTCTCACTTGCCGCGTATCGCTTACATTTCATTTACTCTCGTAGAACCTTTTTGTTCTCTGTCCCTACCTGCTTTTCCCCTACCAACCAATTATGAAGCTTTCGCTGTCGCTATTAGCTGTCGTCGCCCCTATCGCTCTTGCCCAGGATCTCGCCAGCAGCAACGCTACCGATGTACGGATAGCTGCAGAATTCGATCCGGAGGACATCGCGGACGCCGCTGAGTGGACCGCAGCCTACGAGAAGGGTACTAGACTGGTCTGTCGACTTGAAGCTAACGACGAGGCCGCGGGAAGACTGTGGCAGGACACTCGAGATCCACCATCTGCGCGCAGCCAGTGGGCTGATGTCACACTCCAGGAAGAGCTGGGTCTTTGGGGTTGGCGCACTGGCAAATATGAACAGGTGCTTCATTGCGACTTTTCCGACGACAAGGAGCCTCAGCATGTGAACCATTTCGGTAAGTCAATGCCTTTACGCTGACCACCACGATCTCTACTCGAGAGGTATATAGGTCAAAGATTGGTCTTTGATAGGTGTTGACTGTTCAAAGGAACGATGTTCGCGAGTCTCGGCGTTAACGACCAGCCACGCGAAAAGGGCGGTGATAACCAGTGTTACAACATCGAACACTACGACGCAGACGTAGAAGATGACTTGATGGACGAAGACGATGAAATGCAGCAGTACTACTTCGTTGATGACGAGGAATATCGTTGCACTGGTGCGCATGTTCGATTCGGTATCAACCAACGAGGCGGAAGTGAGTCTCTACGATTGATTTCAGTTTACGACTCGCACATCAATACTCCCATCCCTCTTCCAGGCCGAATCTGTCCCAGGACATGCTAACTAGTCAAAGTGATTATTGGCCAGAGCCTCTCAAGTCCTAGATTCGAGGCGGCGGCAAACTGGGGATTCGAACCGAGAGAGACCGAGCTGCCGCAGCTGCAGCGCGTTTCCGACATCATGATGGCATACTGGATGCGCGACAATCCCGACCCAAAGAATCTCAAGTACTACCTTGTGTGCAATATCTTGAATGAGCAGACTGTCAGACTCATCAACGCTGTCCTGAAGAACAAGGGTCTCGATAAGATACCATTCTGGCCTGGCGTTGTAGCCGGCATGTGGGAGGAGGAAGGCCCAGCACTACTTGGTAAGTAGTCCTATCTATCTCCAGAACGCCCCAACAGAAAACAGCAACGAACAGTAGTCCGGATGCGGTTGCATACGCCATGCGAAGGACTCTGAGTTACCACAACGCTGACGAACTTCAGGATCTCCACTGGGTGGCTCGCTCGCCTTTTTGCTCGCCCAACACAAGGCGGAGCTAAGTATCAAGCATGTCACCGAGATCGTGATCTTCCGAGATAACTGGGAAGGTTCGACTCCGTATGTGCAGTTGCTGTTCAGGATCAAGGACGTCCCGGACCCAGCTCCAGATCCAGCCCCAGACGCAGAGTCAGGCCAAGCTCTTAGACTACGAAGTTCCCTCTTGGGCGATGGCTTGAAGAACAAGATATACACGCACAAGATCTTCCAGGATACTAGAGCTCTTGTTGTTGGCGCATAGACGAAGCAGGGTGGGAGGAGGCTTTGTAGACGTGATCTTTGTCTAGATAGCCGTTGAGGCTTGTAGCGCATATTTAGATCTGGTTTTCATCCGTTGGTAAGTACCGATCTGCCACAGAAGACAGAATAGACTTGCTACACTAGAAGAATCAATACCGAAATAACATCACAGCGGATATGCATCGACGGAACAGACTCTGCTCGAGCAGCCCTATTGTGATGTACGTGACATCCAAACAGCGGACATATGTACCGCTCTCACATCCTTCAATATCGTGTGACATCAAGCCCCTTGCGTGCGCAGGTGCAGAAAGCGCAACAAATGACGTGAACGCCCCACCCGTGCACTAAGCATTCTCGCTAAGCAACGACCCACCGAGCATCCCGCTCGATGACGTCGCACCCACCCTCCTCCCAACCACAATTCCCAATCACCTTTCAACTTTCCCATCGTGATCTTTTCGCCGACCCCAGCCGAGACGCTGATTAATACTGCTTCCGCACTGTCATTCGTGGGTCTGGGGCTGCGCGTGGAAGTGATAAGCTTCTGCGAAGCAACGATGGCGTAGGATCGACGCTAGCACCGCGACGGTTGGCGGGTGCTTGTTTCCCTTGTGGACTGGGCGGGTCTGGAGACGGGTTTAACAGTTTAGGATTTCGATTGCGTCGGTGATGGCTGACGGAGAGGGTGGAGGCGCGACGTAGGTGGTGTGGAGTGGTCAGGAAAGAGGACCCTTAAGTATGCAACTGCCCGTGGGACCTCGGGGAGGCTTGATACTCGCGCGGTGCTTACCTTACAGACAAGATTCCTGGCTATCGCGACCAATACTTCGGAGGTGTATTCTATCTGGCCTTCCCGCGCTTCACTTGCCATCCTTCTCTCCAGCCAACTTATCACGCGCACTTCGTTAGACAACCCCATCTCCCATCTCATTACTAGCATCCATATCCTGTCACGATGGCGGTAATTTGGGGTCTCGACATGAAGGAGATGCAATGGGGCAAGTTCAAGTCCGGCTACATGTGGAACAACACGTATCACAACCGTCGCACAAAGTTCATCATCTACCAACTCGCCATGATTCTCTGCGTTGTTAGTGAGAGTCTGGGAACCGCTGCGCTGTCTGGTACGATATCTCTCCCTATCTCTACTCATGGTGGCGACGACAGCCGTCTGCCATCTTCCAACTTGAACATCATCTAACATCCAGCAGACTACGTCGACCAGCAAAAGTTCGTCTCAAAGCTCGACCGCAACGTCATGATCCACAACAACAACTTCGTCGGCATCGCATCGTACAACATCTTCGTCGGTATCTTCGTCGCCACCATTTTCGGTGCCGCCTTTTTCTTCGATCTCTTCTGGCCTGAGCGACAAGAGTCGAGAGGCGTCATCAACGCTTGGAAAGCTTGCTCAGTCTTTGCTTGCATGCTTACGCTCTCCGACGCCCTTGCATACACTTACATCACCGCGAGCAAGAGTGCGCACCTAACCGGCACGGACTTCGAGCGCGGACAGGGCCTGTTGTCGCAGTTCAAGAAGGCCGGCGAGACTCCGCTCGCTTACAACAAGAATGGGCGGGCGATTGCTAGTGTTGTATTCTTGTGGCCGGGCATGATCTTCACTTTTGTCAGGTAAGTCACCTCTATCGGTCCTATCACCTCAACCTAGGGAAAACCTGGACAGGTCTGGAGCCTACATCGACGTTAGGCCACCTAATTTGCAGGTTTTCGTCTTGATGTAGCCTCTAGGGTGTTCAATTTTTCCCTTGTATGAGGTGCTATCGTACCACTCTTACTGACTCATTTGTCTAGCACATATCTCCTCTGGCATTCGCTGAACCACATCGACAAGCTCGGAGTCTTCTCCGCACATGCCCGCAATCTTGATGGCGCTTCGCCCGAGCCCGAACCGAAAGGCAACGCCGTATAGAATTGGCTTCGTAAAACCATCACAGCCGACTCCCGTCCTGACCTCTCCCGTCCCAACCCCTCTCAGACTCCTCACCAGAATCACGAATTGCAGAACATAAGCAAGTCGCCCTCTGTCGTCACCGCGTACAGAGACGGAACTCCAGTCCGATCGGCTCCTCCCACATACAATTCCCATGCCGGTCCTTCCTCCCGTGGCGGTCCTTCCAGTCGTCCCGGTCCCTGGACTCCTCGTCGGGATTCAGAGCTGAACAAGCTAAAGAAGAAGCACAAAACAGACATCACCGTTGTCAAAGATGGACCTGCAGACCCACCTGCTCTCGGAAGGTGGGGCAGTCACGATGCTGTGCATGGTCCTGTTGAGGAGACCCTTGTTGAAGAGACGCCTATCGAGACGCTCATAGAGCGGAATAGGGCCGAAGTGCAGAGGATGCTACAGGAGGGAGATCCGGATAGGGATGAGATGATTAGGCAGCGCAGCGAGGAGTTACTGAAACAGAACAAGGATTTCATTAGCGAAAGGCCGTTGAGTCCTGAGGAGTCTAGATGAGAGTTTGGTGAAGGTATTTCGGTATTTGATGGCGTTTAGGGATGAGTGGGATAGTGAGTATTGATACCCTGGTAGCTTGTTTACTTGGATGAGAATGAATAATAGTAATTCTTCGATCGTTGCGTTAGCTATGTTGATGATGCACCTCATAAAATGGAAAAAACTGAACACCCTGGAGCCTACGTTGACCTTGGGCCACCTACTTTGTATGTTTTTACTATAATGTAGGCTCTACGGTGTTTAGTTTTTTTCCTAGGCTGACGTGGATGCACTGTTGTCAAATGTCGATCCTGGATGTACATGCTGTGATGTTGTCTTCTTCATGAAAGATTGGAGTCGATGCCTAGAGGTGGGCATGTCATACAACAAGGTGACAATGCTACTCACGTATAGCAATCTATCAAATGCAGAGAGTATTTACCTATGTCCTTACTCGAATACCTACTGTCGCGCGTGCGTCGTGAGCCTGCCCGTTCAAATACTCGCTGCATCCTATGCAAGAGAAAAACTAAACACCTAGGAGCCTACGTCGCTGTTAGGCTACTAACTTCGCAAGCTTTTATGTTAATGAAGGCTCTAGGGTGTTTAGTTTTTCCTTTAAATAGGGTAGCTGTATAACTTATCTATGAGCAGCACGTTGTCAAAAACACTAAACTTAAGACTTTCTCTACAGTAGCTACCTCATACCCAGCATCCCATACATCTGATTTCCAACACCGCCTTTCCCACTGCCGCATACCCTCCCACCTCCCTCAGCCCCCATCACGCCACCATCCACATCCCCGGTGCCAGCCTCATTCCAACCCAACGCCACCAAGACGTTTCTTTTGCCGGAACGACGGAACAGTGCACACCCATAGGGATGTTATGAAACCCACTCTCGCTTCCCCGTACCCACCATCGTCACACCACTTTCTTCACGGAAGCAAAAAGCAAGAAAAAAGAAAGGAGACCCTGTGTGAGTTCAAGCCACAGCAAGCCACAGTGACGCGACGGCTTGCGAGCGATAAGAATGATACGAAAAGAAGGAAAGGGGAGATCTCGGGAGGGACGGGAGGGAGCGAGAGATGGTGGGAAGCAGGGTGTGGTGGCAGTAACGTAAAAGCCACGATGACGTGGAATGCTGTATATATGAGATGGGGGTGGGAATACCAAGGTTTTGGGTGGAAAAGGAAAAAGAGGTGGATTCTTTACAGGGCTCGGATGAGATGCCATGACGCAGCTGCTTCGCGAGTAATGATCTGGTGAGACTGGAGAATGGAAGGGAAAGAGCAAGAGTCGTGTGCATTGCGAAGGTTGCAAGAGTCAGTAGGAGTAATGAGCCTGGCTTACGGGGGTGTCATGAGAAGGACAAAAGAAAATATAACTGTAAGAGGATGAGAGGATGAGAATGCGAGGTAGATGTAAGAGTCAAGTGTTGCGAAAGCGTATGCGAATACAGGAGATATGCGTAGAGCAAGAAAGAGACCTCGGGGGGGGGGGGGGGGGGGGG